ACGACCGAGAACATGCGAACATGCATCGTGGCGCGAGGATTGGGACTGGTACTCCCCATGCCCTGGGCGCCCTCTTTTTGAACACCGATGGCGCCTTAGGGGGGGGAGGAGGAGCAGCAGCAGCAGAAGGAGGAGGAGGAGGAGGAGGGAGGAGACAAGCGAAAGAATGAGGAGGAGGAGGAGGAGGCAGAGGAGGGGGAGGAGGAGGCAGAGGAGGAGGAGGAGGAGGAGGAGGAGGAGGAGGAGGCGGCGGAAGCCGCGCGCGGACGGCCCCTTCCGTCCGTCAAGTCCCCGACGCCGTAGTCCACGACGGGGGCACGGCACGGCCGAGGGTCGTCGTCGTCCTCGTCGTCGTCCTCGTCCTCGTCTTCGTCGTCGTTCTCGTCGTCCGTCGTCCGTCGTCCGTTGTCGTCTGGTCTCCGTCGACTGGCGTCGTCCGTCGATGCCATCCATCATCATCATCATCATCATCATCATCATCATCATCATCATCATAGCAGCAGCATCATCATCATCATCATCATCATTAGCATCAGCATCAGCATCAGCATCAGCATCAGCATCATCGTCATCGTCATCGTCATCATCATCATCATCACCATCACCATCACCATCACCATCACCATCACCGCCGTCGCCATCGCCGTCACCGTCACCACTACCGCCACCATCGCAATCACCATCACCATAGAGACAAGGGCTAACTATGAACTCCACTGAAGTTCGTGTCGCAAACTATCTCGATTCCTTGTTTTGTTCTGCGCTGATTTCTGGTTACTTGCTGCGGCACGCTGCGCTGGACCCATGGATCCCCGCGGCCTCCGAACAGCAGCGGCCAAAGAACATAACGGACGAGCTTGAAACTAGAGGCTTGATCAATCGTGATGTTTGGTTGTTCTGTTTGTAAGCGGGTTCACATGCCAGCGCACGGCCCTGGAAGCTTTCGAGTGGCTGGAGTGGCACAGCCAGCACAGCACAGAAGCATTGCGCAATGCGTTACGTGCGGTCGCAACAGCTTGTCGGCACTCGCGCCTGCGCAATTCACGCGCCAATCGAACTAGCTGTGGTGTGGGAGTGAATGGGATGACCCGCATGGATGTAAGTATTCAGTCGTTCTGGGCACATGCAACCATACCCAGTTGTACCAAGGAGGCTGGTGGGTGGAGGATCTAGCCTAATTGAATCAGTGAGTGCGGGCACCAAGCTCATCAGGAGGCTTGGCCACTGCCTTGCCCGCGGAGCTTACTACTGCTGCTCTTGCCCCCGGCCCTTGCCGCCAGTCGTGCCGTCCTTGCCTTTTGCCCTTTCGCTTTGGGCGCGGGCTGCACTGCTGCGGCGAAGGGCTCACGGGTGATGGGTGACCTTGTCGGACCCCAGGAACTTCGAATGCAAAACCAAAGTGTAGAAGCCAAGTGTTTGACGAAGTGTTCTCAACGAAGTTTTCAACGAAGTGTGTTGAACGAAGTGCTTCACGAAGTTGTAGAAGCCAATTGTCGCAGTCCCGCAGGTGTGTTGACGAAGTGTTCGTAAACTCGAGTGGGATGGTTTTCGTGCTCGCCGCCAGCACTGCATCCTCAGGCACGGCTGCTGTCCGCACCCCCTTAAGCGCCTTCGCGGCTTCCTGTTGGAAACGCCTACACCATTCCTCCCCTGGGTGTTCGATCGTTATGTGTTCGACGTGTTCGGCCTGAGGTTACCGAACGTCGATGGTTTTCGGACGCGGTCCCCCCGAAGCGTTTCCCCCGAAGCTTTTCGAACGCGTGCCTCCCGAGGGCTTCCGAACATAATGCCCCAAATGGTTTTGGAACGTGGTTATGGGAAATACTTGGTTTCAGAATTTAGTTGTGGAAATGGCGATCGCCATCGTTCCTCCTGAGCGCCCTCTCCCTCTCGCTCCTGGCCCGCTGAGGCAGGGATGCCCTCGACGCCTTATCCTCTCTTCCTCTTCTTTCTCCTCCTCATCCTACAACTCCCTTGACCCCCCTCCTTATCCTGTTTCATTGAGGCGATATGTTCCCTCGTCCTCCTCACATTCCCCCTCCTCCCCCCTCATCCTCCTCACCCCCATCATCCACCCACCCGCTGATCTTCCGCTCAGGAGCAGACGGAGGAGGAACGACGATATCGCCTTCGTTACGTATTCCGTCCGCTCCTTCACGGTCGCAGGTGGGATGGACCAAGCTGGTACGAAGGAATCGCCTGCCGACGGGCGGATGGAGGTGCCTTGGTTGGCGACGTAGATATCGATGCCGAACGCCGTCGTTACATGGAAGCTGTGCGGCAGAGGCATCCTGGTAACAGTTCCGATCAGGAGGGACTTGAACGCCATGATTCCCTGCGCGACATCGTCCGCCTCCGCATCTTTGAGCGCGAGGTCGCACCACCCAGACCCCAGCGTAATGTCAGAACCAGTGGAGTTGGTTTGCACCATGCACTTGTTTCAGAATAGCGCCTCGAGATTGAGCATGAAGACCTTGATCATGGGCGACGCAGCGCCCTCCCAGAGAGACTGGATCGTAGATATGATCACGGCGCCAGTAGCCACAGTAGTAGCCTCCTCCTCAACACCTCCAGTGGATGCGGCCGTCGCTTTGATTTCTTCTGCCGGCGCATCAGGAGTATCACCCAGCGAAAAGTACTCGTCCAAAGTGCCCTGCCCAGCCGCCTTTATCTTCGCGCGCCACGTGGCCACCCATGATGCTGCATCAGTCGCATTGTCCGCACTGGCAACGTCAACGATCGAATGAACGAGGGCGCGCGCTGCCGAGCCAGCGTGCCCGTCCAAGCCCGACGCCCCAATCGAGTTGAGAATCCCCACGGCGTAGTGGCTGCGCAAGGACCCAAGGTGCCACGCGTCTTCCTCCGATTCGCAGATGCCCCCCGTGAGGTCGGATACTGGGGGGGATCCGTCCTGGCTCATGCACGTGCGCGCCTTCGTAATGAACCTCGTAAGCTTGCCGTCGAAGGTGGTGGCAGCCGCCTGGTGGAAAGCCTGAAGTACGATAGCCACGTCGATAACCGAAGTAGGAGGAGCGTCGGTCTTGCCAGAGCTCCCATGATCTTCTGCGAAATGCTGATGCAGACCCGGCGTCCTCGTAGCGGGGCGCTCCGCTGGAGTATCGCGCACCAGCCGACGCCAGAGCATCGGCTGGTGCGCGATACTCTAGTCGGCATCGCCCTTGTACCCGTCAGTGATCTACGTCGCGTCGGTTTCACTCGCCCTGAGCTTATGTTCTTGCCACACACTCGCATTCGTGGCATCACCTCTGAGATAAAGACAAGACATCCTTCATTAATCTGGGGCTGCGCGGTCTAATGCCAGTCTCTGACTGCAGTGCGCATGCAAGTTCCGAGTGGCAATCAAAATGGCATTCGTCATTATTTCTCTCGAACAGATGGGTTGGTGAGTCGCGTCAAGGCCCAAGCCCAAGACCTGACGCCGAACATCCGCTGGCAGTTCGGCGAATGGCCAACGACAAACCACCTCGGTCCCTCAGGTATCTCTCATATGTTGTCTTGAATGTGCACGTGTTCTCGCACTCCTTGAATATCCTTTTTGTCTTGGCCAGCTTGTCAGTCGCTCTGTCTTTCGCTTTCCTCTTCGCAGCTGCCGTTGTTCGAAGTTCGGCGATCCGTGCTTGCAGTTTGCTAGTCTCGTGTTGCTGCTTGCGAACGAACTTTAACAAATCGTCTTTGCTCATATATGAGAAGTTATGACAGTCCGCCTGCTGCAAAGGAACAAGCGCGAACGCAGATGGAGCCGAGGTTGGCGCGAGGTCGATCCTCGCGACGGGCTGTCGCACTGGTTGCTCGCGAACCATGGAGCCCACCGGTGCCCATTGCATACTCTTCTCTGGCAAGCCCAACGCATAATGAATGAGCGCTGGTATAACATCAAGTGAATGAGCCGCGCCGTTGAAGAAAGCGCGCGCCTCATTATTCATTGATATGTATGTACCACCCCTGGCCAACGCAAACCGCGCGTCCATGTCGGAACCGAAAGACCTCATGAATTTCAAGACGTGTTCGAACGGTGCGTGACCGTCTTTGTTGAAAGTTGTCACTGCGACAACAGTTGTTTTCCGTTCTAGGTATTTCTAGGTATGACAGCGAGATCGAACCATCCCTCATTAGGTCCAATATGGCTACGGAAAACAAGCACGCAAATGGCCCCGTGCGACTGTAGCGCCGGGTGATCAGAGACGGAGGGACGTTTGAATGTCAGGACACGAAAGTGTGTACCAGGCCAACGAAACAGTGTCGAATCAATCATAGCGATGCGTTAAAAACTAGCTTTTTATAATAGCGATGCGGTGAACATGAATTTGTTTTATCTATTAGCGCTGTATAGAAAACTTGCTAGGCATTCTTTTCCCCGTCGGTAACTTGCGCAACGCCCTCATCCTGGGGGCTAAAGAGCAGTTTTCAAACGTGCGCGGTCCAACTTCCAACGACAAAACAAGGACACCCCAGGAGCAGCGACGCGGAGGTCGCCGCGGCGATCGCGACGGCCGCAGATCGTGGCACGGCGTTCAAGGAGCGGCATTCCCCTCTCCAGCCCCACCGCTCTGCGATGTAGACGTTGCCCAGATTTCCCAGCATAGCAGCAGAGAGTTATCGACTTGTGGTCCACAAAAGAGTCATCTCATTGGGTTCGGGGTCGGTTATCGCGCAACTAACTTTTGAGGGGCCCGCTCGGCCAGGAGACAATTGGTTCACATCTCCGGGCGATAATGGGCGTGACTGGGGGCGGAAGGGCCGTTTACGTGATGATTCGCGCCGGCGCTGTCTGGAAATGCTTAGGAGCGGCTAGTTCCCAGACGGCGCCAGCGCGAATCGTGATGTACGTTACCAGGGGACGGGGACCAGGGAGAGGGGGGGGCGGGGACGGTAACGGGCGTTATCGCAAAGCTCACCAGCGGGCGTTGCCCTCCAGGTACGGTGACCCCTCTGAGGTTCGAGCCTGCATTGCCCCAGTCCTCCACCCTGCCTTCGGTGCCATGCTGCGCGTCGGCGCGGGTGGCGGCGTGCAGAAGGTTACTCCCAAGGCGTTCGGGGGGTGCTGCCGTTACCACCACCTCCGCCGCTGCTGATGTTTATTGAGACCGCGCAGGAGAATTCTATGACGTCGCTCGGATGGATGCAATTGTGCATGATCACGTTTTTCTGTTGATTCATATTGTGCTACCTGTGTGACTTATCATGCCGATTTGTTGATTATCTTCCATTGTCCTACACGTTTACCAGTGGTTGTCTCACGCGTTTCACATGCATGGCGCTGCGGCGCCCGCCTGCGACGCCCAAGCTGGCGACGGCTGCAGGTCCGATGTTCCGATGCTCGGGATGAGCTCGGCATTGTCGTTTTTGACAGCCTTCGTCGTAGAGGCGAAGCGTACCTATGTCCATGGCTTCGATATAAACCACCTCAGCTAGGGAAGGTAGGAACACACACACACACGGACCACAGGCAGTATGCGATGCATTTGACATGTAGCGTATCCATATCCGTGCCTTGGCCAGCTTGGCCTGCAAAGACATGTCATGTGAGTTTCTGCACCGGGATCTGTTTCTCTCACTTGACCGCCGTCAGGGAGGAGGACGAGTAGTCATCAGATTGAATTGGTTCGCTCATTCCGCTGGCCCAGACTATTCCATCTTGGGCATTTGCCTGCGTGTTCGTCGCCACTGTGGCCCTGATGGGGGCAGTGGTTTCCGTGAAATGTTGCGTGAGCAGTCATGGGCGTCTCGGGGCAGAGGGTTCGAAATCGTTGTTTGTGCCCCCCTCTCTGGGGCCCCTCTTGGACACCCGTGGAGGCCCCCTCAGGCCGACGTGGGAGCCTCTTGAGAGCTCTTGGGGGCACCTTGGTAGATCTTGGGACGTATTGGGTGGATCTGGAGGGCCTCCGAGGCCCTCTCGGGTCCTTGGAGGTGTCAGCCAAGCAGTGAAATAGGAACCGGTTTGGCCTGAGGAGTGGCTGAGGTTCTCGGGCCGTTCCCTAGATTTATGTGTGGAACCTGTCTGTGGCCCAGGCCCGCCGTGACCAGAAAAGCTCCTCCTTTCTTTTTATGCGCTCTGTGTGGTGGCACGATGACTGTATCCGCTTACGAGCCCCCGCTGTCATCCCAAAAGGGTGCCGGGCCCGTGGTATTCCGCGCCCCGCGGCTGATCGGCCCTCCCCACCGTGAGGGGGCGACCCAGTCCTCTGCAGCAGCCGCTCTGGGTCAGGCAGCTCCGTTGGCTTCGAGGCGCACGCACCCGGCCCTCAGATGATCTTTAAAACGCTGGGGGGGTATATTTCTTTCTGTGTTCACGATCGACGTTTTTTGTATGATTGGGGCGTTGTTTTTGTTCCGTTTTCCTGTTCGGGATCGGCCCGTTGCCCATTTGTTCGTTATTTTTCTGTTTCTTGCATTTATTTGTACGGTTTTGGGTGTCAGAATGCCACTTGCTTGACGTCCACATTCCAGGGTGTGGTTTTTAGATCTTTTCCGTCGAGTCATGAGCGAAAAGTGGAAAACGGGAAAACGCCCCCAGCGCTTTCAATGAACAACTGAGACCCCTAGCCTCCCTCCGCAGTCTTCGAGCGATGTTTTGCCTGCGCACCGTCTGCAGTGCCATCTGGAATGCCGTTGCGAGGCGCCGCCTCCCTGAGGGGCCAGCCGACGCGGGGAGTCTCCGCGTCTTGGAGACGCCGGAGGAGGTGCAGGGGCTGCTCGCCGGGAAGCGCGTGCTCCACGTCAAGGGGTTCGGCGCGGGCTTCGGGGGTCCCCCGGAGGGACGGAGCGACGTGCAGCAGCGGCAGGATGAGGACGCCGTGGTGGCCATCTCGCGGTTCCGCCCCGACTTTCTGGTGGTCGACGGCGATCCTTGGAAAGATGGCTTCCAGCGCTACGTCAAGGCTTACGTGGACAGGCAGGCACGCGCTGGGAAGGCGGTGCCGGGGCTCGTCTGGGTGAAGAACGTCAAGGGGAGCTCGCCCACCCCCGAAGAACGAGACAAGCATCAGGCGAAGGCCCGCGAGTGGGCCGACCAGGGGCTCCAGGTGACAGTCTCATGGCTGCCAGAGGCTTCCATCGCTGAGGGCATGGGTAAGCTGTTCGGGGCGGACTGCTGGGAGAAGCTGCAGGGGCAGGAGTTTGACTGCAGAGGCGCCGTGAAGCTGCTGCAGGCGGCCGAGCCCGACGGGCCCGAGTGGCTCCGCGAGCTCAAGGGCACCGCGTCTGGGTGCGAGCTCTACCGGGCCATCGAGACCGTGGAGAGCCGGGCCGAGCAGCAGTTCTTCGAGAAGTGCAGCTTTGAGAACGCCGCGAAGGGCAACGCGATATACCAGCACCTGCGGGGGGCGGGCCATGCGCCGGCCGCGCAGGGAGTCGTGAGCTTCGGCGGCGGCGAGAGTGTGCTGCTGGAGTTCGCGACTCTCTACCTCTTCCCGGGCTCCGGATTCGACGCGAGCCGTGCCGCGCTCTTCTCGATGATCCTCAGGGCCTGTGTGAGAGCCCGGTGTGTGTGTGTGTGTGTGTGTCTGCCCCGCTCGGCTCCGCCGTCCGCACGCCGCCCGTTGCGGCCCTCATTGCACCGCCTGCGCCGTGTTGAAGGGCCTCCGTGAGCAAGGACGGGCACTCGTTGGCGCCAATTGCACGTTCTGGGGGTCGTCGATCTTCCCGTTCATCCGTGGCAGGGACAGCGACCCTGCGCTGCCTGCGCACAAGGGGTGCGCCTTCCAGTCGGAGTAGGGTTAGGCGCTCGCCGACGAGCAGGCGCTGGCACCACAGTGGGCACCTCGGCGCCGGCAGCCCAGCTGGCGACACCACCCGCCCGCGAGGAGGCGCTGGCGGCAGCCGTCTGGCCCAGGAAGGGCAGCAGCCATGGGAATGATGGTTGCGTCCTGGAGCCAGCTGGTTGTCTGAGGCGGCCCAGCACTGGTTCCGGTGAGCAGGAAATCAGTATCGTTTACCGATCTTTACCCCCACCCCCATCATCCCCATCCCGATCCCCACCATCCCACCACCCCAGTTGGGATATGCCCCTCAAAACTCGAATGGAACAGCCTATATCCGCATATAGTAGCGGGGAACATCGGCCAGTGGGGGTCATTTCACGCCAGTGGGGATAGGGATCGGCTAATAGCGCTGCTCAGGAAAAGGGGGGCGAGGTCCAAGGTTGTGTGTTCGAGGAGGCTGTTTTGTTCTGCCTTTCAGGGCCGTTCTCGGGCCCCGGGGCCCAAAACGGATCATGGACCCCAGGAGGGCTCTGGAAACCGATTATGAGCGCATTCTGCCGTTATTCCCCCCTCTTGATGGAGTTTCTCGGGGCCCAACTGGCTCAGATCCCCCGGCCGCCGCCAACTTGCGTCGCCCCGAAGAGGGGACGCCCACGCGCAGGGTTCGAGCGCCTGCAGCGGTGCGTCAGCAGCTCCATACCTAAAGAGAGATGCACGTCAGCTGCCTGGCCTGCTGTCACAGAGAGCGAGAGAGAAAGTGAGAGCGAGAAAGGAGGAGGAGGAGGAGGACCAGGAGGAGGAGGAGGAGGAGGAGGAGGAGGAGGAGGAGGAGGAGGAGGAGTGACGAGCAGGGGGAGGGGAGAGGGGGAGGAGGAGAAGAAGGAGGAGGAGGCGGAGGCGGAGGAGGAGGAGGAGTGACGAGCAGGGGAAGAGGGGAGGGGGAGGGGGAGGGGGGAGGAGGGAGGAGGAGGAGGAGGAGGAGGAGGAGGAGGAGGAGGAGGAGGAGGAGGAGGAGGAGGAGGAGGAGGAGGAGGAGGAGGAGGAGGACCAGGAGGAGGAGGAGGAGGAGGAGGAAGAGGAGGAGGAGGAGGACAAGTGTAAACCCAACGGTGTTAGATTAATGTTCCCCTCCAATCCCTCGTCATAGTTCCCTACAGCGGTTCATTCCCAGTGAGGGAGTTGCCACGTTGGAAGACAACATTTGAAGACCCTGAAGCATGCCAGAACAATGTCTTCGGGATTCCATTGCCACGAATCAACCTGACGGCGTCTTGACGATCCTGAATCGTGCCAGAACGGCATTCCTGAGATTTCAACACAGCGAATCAACGTAACTGCTGCACCCTCATAATCCTGAATCCTTCCAAAGCACCATTTCTGGTACGCTGATCATGGGAATCCGTGAAACTCTTGCAACTGTTCAGAACGAATGCGCGCGTCGCGAAGGCGAGAGCCACATTTTGAAAAGGAGCCGCCCTGAATCCGGGACGTCTTGTGTTTTTGAACACGGATGTGCGCGGCGCTAAGACGAGAGCTACATTTTGAAAACGGGCCGCCCTCCATCTGTAAAATTGTTGCCAGCGTTTAAGCTTCATGGTCACGAATGGTGAGGCAGTCTCAGGCGAAACGCCCGGCACGCCCTAAAAATTGGCTTCAGGGCGCGACAGGGACAAGGTTTTCTTATAAGGGAAATGATGGAGGAGGAGGAGGAGGAGGAGGAGGAAGAGGATGAGGAGGCGGATAGTAGGAGAAGAAAGGGGGACGAGCTAGGAGGAGGAGTAGGAGGAGGAGGAGGAGGAGGAGGAGAAGAGGAGGAGGAGAGGAGGAGGGGGAGGGAGGAGGAGGAGGAGGAGGAGGAGGAGAGGAGGAGGAGGAGGAGGAGGAGAAGGGGAGGAGGAGGAGGAGGAGGAGGAGGAGGAGGAGGAGGAGGAGGAGGAGGAGGAGGAGGGGGAGCGGGAGGGGCCCTGGGAGGGGGAGGTGGAGGAGGAAGAGGAGGAGGAGGACTGCGGCTGACCCTCCGCCTGCTTGGCGGTGGCGAGCCTGCGGTGTATACCATGCCCGGGAGCGCGTGCCCTTGCATGGTAGCAAGACAGGAGGGGCGACTGCTGCGTTGAGAAGGCAGTCTGTCATCCACGCGCAAAGGGGGGGAGCGGGCGGGGGAGAGGGGAGGGGGAGGCTTCTTAGAAGCACCCCTGCTTCTTAGAAGGCGCTGGCCTTCTCTATAGATGGAAGGCGGCGCCTTTGAGAACCAGCCCCCTAAGAAGCTGTCCCCCTTCCCTCCACCCTCTTGTGCGCGCCGCCAAGTTTTGGCGCTGACTTACGTCACTCTCATGGATTCGCTGGATTGCGCCGCGCCGCCGATCCCTTGAGAGCCCTGGGTGCCTCTCTTCTGGTGGGGTGCGTTGTCGTAGAAGCGTCTCGGCTCCGCGCGTTCATCTGGGAGGCCCACATCCGTGCTTTAAAGACGCCGTGCTAGGTCGTTTTGGGGCCCTCGTGAGGACCTCTTGATGACTTCTGTGGGCCTCTTGGGGGCCTTTCGGGACGTACTGGGGGAATTGTGGGGATCTTAGGGAGGGCTCTTGGAGGGGGTCTCTTGGACAGTCGTGGGCAACTTTGGGCTTGCTTGGGTCGTTTTGAGGCTCTTCTTGGGATCGTTTTGGGCCGTTGCGCTAAGACGACAGTCTTGGCGTTTACCTGCAGAATTGGCGATGGCCATTCGTTGCGGCGTTGGTCAAGCAGCGCAGCAAGGGATTCCTTTGGACCTGCGGTTAGCCAGTCTCGCGCGGCCAGCAGAGTGAAGCACGCTCAGGAGGAAGTTGGTTTCTCTTGTCTGTGCCATCATGCACCATTAGCGGGGTAGCCTAGCATCACAGTTTCGCTTGGCGCCACAAAAACATGCGTGTGCGTATACATACATATGTACACACACACGTCTGTCTCGCTGCCTGTCTGTCTGTCTGTCTGTCTGTCTGTCTGCCTGTCTGCCTTTCTGCCTTTCTGCCTGCCTGCCTGCCTGCCTGCCTGTTTGTCTGTCTGTAGGTAGGTAGGTAGGTAGGTAGGTAGGTAGGTAGGTAGGTAGGCACCGTTATATATATATATATATATATATATATATGTATCGGAGTGCAGCCCAGCTCTACGCAGCTTGAGAAGAGCGGGGCGAGTCAGGCGAGGATGAGGGGACGGAGGGGGATCGGGAGGAGGGTGCATGGAACAAGGAAATGGGCGGAGGGAGAAGGAGGAGCAGGAGCAAGAGACGCAGCAGGAGGGACGCGGAAGAGGTTGGGAACAGTGCTTGGGGTTCGAGGTCCCACCGTCTCGACGATTTACGATTCCTCCGCGATCCAGTGCGCCTTTGGAGCCCCACTCGTTCCAGCCCTGCATCGCGAGTTCATCGGGGACGTGGTGCGATCCGCATCAGATCCAGTGGCCTGCGGCCCATCTCGCCACCGTGCCTGAGTCTCTGGGAGGGCCTCTTGGGGGCCACTTGGGGGCGTCTCGTGGAGACTCCCTGGCGCGGAGAGGCCCTGGGCATCCAGCGCACCCCCTGGGGCCAGCTGCGCGGGTGGAGGCGCCGCGCCGAGCCCCGCCGAGCCGACGGCACTCGTCCTCCGCGACAGCAGCGACGACGACGACCGAGAACATGCGAACATGCATCGTGGCGCGAGGATTGGGACTGGTACTCCCCATGCCCTGGGCGCCCTCTTTTTGAACACCGATGGCGCCTTAGGGGGGGGAGGAGGAGCAGCAGCAGCAGAAGGAGGAGGAGGAGGAGGAGGGAGGAGACAAGCGAAAGAATGAGGAGGAGGAGGAGGAGGCAGAGGAGGGGGAGGAGGAGGCAGAGGAGGAGGAGGAGGAGGAGGAGGAGGAGGAGGAGGCGGCGGAAGCCGCGCGCGGACGGCCCCTTCCGTCCGTCAAGTCCCCGACGCCGTAGTCCACGACGGGGGCACGGCACGGCCGAGGGTCGTCGTCGTCCTCGTCGTCGTCGTCGTCCTCGTCTTCGTCGTCGTTCTCGTCGTCCGTCGTCCGTCGTCCGTTGTCGTCTGGTCTCCGTCGACTGGCGTCGTCCGTCGATGCCATCCATCATCATCATCATCATCATCATCATCATCATCATCATCATCATCGTCATCATCATCATCATCATCATCATCATCATCATCAGCAGCAGCAGCAGCAGCATCATCATCATCATCATCATCATCATCATCATCATCATTAGCATCAGCATCAGCATCAGCATCAGCATCAGCATCAGCATCATCGTCATCGTCATCGTCATCATCATCATCACATCACCATCACCATCACCATCACCATCACCGCCGTCGCCATCGCCGTCACCGTCACCACTACCGCCACCATCGCAATCACCATCACCATAGAGACAAGGGCTAACTATGAACTCCACTGAAGTTCGTGTCGCAAACTATCTCGATTCCTTGTTCTGTTCTGCGCTGATTTCTGGTTACTTGCTGCGGCACGCTGCGCTGGACCCATGGATCCCCGCGGCCTCCGAACAGCAGCGGCCAAAGAACATAACGGACGAGCTTGAAACTAGAGGCGTGATCAATCGTGATGTTTGGTTGTTCTGTTTGTAAGCGGGTTCACATGCCAGCGCACGGCCCTGGAAGCTTTCGAGTGGCTGGAGTGGCACAGCCAGCACAGCACAGAAGCATTGCGCAATGCGTTACGTGCGGTCGCAACAGCTTGTCGGCACTCGCGCCTGCGCAATTCACGCGCCAATCGAACTAGCTGTGGTGTGGGAGTGACTGGGATGACCCGTATGGATGTAAGTATTCAGTCGTTCTGGGCACATACAACCATACCCAGTTGTACCAAGGAGGCTGGTGGGTGGAGGATCTAGCCTAATCGAATCAGTGAGTGTGGGCACCAAACTCATCAGGAGGCTTGGCCACTGCCGTGCCCGCGGAGCCACTACTGCTGCTCCTGCCCCCGGCCCCCTTGCCGCCAGTCGTGCCGTCCTTGCCTTTGCCCTCTCGCTTGGGCGCGGGCTGCACTGCTGCGGCGAAGGGCTCACGGGCGAGGGGTGACCTTTTCGGACCCCAGGAACTTCGAATGCAAAACCAAAGTGTAGAACCCAAGTGTTCAACGAAGTGTTCATAACGAAGTTTTTAACGAAGTGTGTGGAACGAAGTGTTTCACGAAGTTGTAGAAGCCAATCGTCGCAGTGCCGCAGGTGTGTTAACGAAGTGTTCGTAAACTCGAGTGGGATGGTTTTCGTGCTCGCCGCCAGCACTGCATCCTCAGGCACGGCTGCTGTCCGCACCCCCTTAAGCGCCTTCGCGGCTTCCTGTTGGAAACGCCTACACCATTCCTCCCCTGGGTGTTCGATCGTTATGTGTTCGACGTGTTCGGCCTGAGGTTACCGAACGTCGATGGTTTTCGGACGCGGTCCCCCCGAAGCGTTTCCCCCGAAGCTTTTCGAACGCGTGCCTCCCGAGGGCTTCCGAACATAATGCCCCAAATGGTTTTGGAACGTGGTTATGGGAAATACTTGGTTTCAGAATTTAGTTATGGAAATGGCGATCGCCATCGTTCCTCCTGAGCGCCCTCTCCCTCTCGCTCCTGGCCCGCTGAGGCAGGGATGCCCTCGACGCCTTATCCTCTCTTCCTCTTCTTTCTCCTCCTCATCCTACAACTCCCTTGACCCCCCTCCTTATCCTGTTTCATTGAGGCGATATGTTCCCTCGTCCTCCTCACATTCCCCCTCCTCCCCCCTCATCCTCCTCACCCCCATCATCCACCCACCCGCTGATCTTCCGCTCAGGAGCAGACGGAGGAGGAACGACGATATCGCCTTCGTTACGTATTCCGTCCGCTCCTTCACGGTCGCAGGTGGGATGGACCAAGCTGGTACGAAGGAATCGCCTGCCGACGGGCGGATGGAGGTGCCTTGGTTGGCGACGTAGATATCGATGCCGAACGCCGTCGTTACATGGAAGCTGTGCGGCAGAGGCATCCTGGTAACAGTTCCGATCAGGAGGGACTTGAACGCCATGATTCCCTGCGCGACATCGTCCGCCTCCGCATCTTTGAGCGCGAGGTCGCACCACCCAGACCCCAGCGTAATGTCAGAATCAGTGGAGTTGGTTTGCACCATGCACTTGTTTCAGAATAGCGCCTCGAGATTGAGCATGAAGACCTTGATCATGGGCGACGCAGCGCCCTCCCAGAGAGACTGGATCGTAGATATGATCACGGCGCCAGTAGCCACAGTAGTAGCCTCCTCCTCAACACCTCCAGTGGATGCGGCCGTCGCTTTGATTTCTTCTGCCGGCGCATCAGGAGTATCACCCAGCGAAAAGTACTCGTCCAAAGTGCCCTGCCCAGCCGCCTTTATCTTCGCGCGCCACGTGGCCACCCATGATGCTGCATCAGTCGCATTGTCCGCGCTGGCAACGTCAACGATCGAATGAACGAGGGCGCGCGCTGCCGAGCCAGCGTGCCCGTCCAAGCCCGACGCCCCAATCGAGTTGAGAATCCCCACGGCGTAGTGGCTGCGCAAGGACCCAAGGTGCCACGCGTCTTCCTCCGATTCGCAGATGCCCCCCGTGAGGTCGGATACTGGGGGGGATCCGTCCTGGCTCATGCACGTGCGCGCCTTCGTAATGAACCTCGTAAGCTTGCCGTCGAAGGTGGTGGCAGCCGCCTGGTGGAAAGCCTGAAGTACGATAGCCACGTCGATAACCGAAGTAGGAGGAGCGTCGGTCTTGCCAGAGCTCCCATGATCTTCTGCGAAATGCTGATGCAGACCCGGCGTCCTCGTAGCGGGGCGCTCCGCTGGAGTATCGCGCACCAGCCGACGCCAGAGCATCGGCTGGTGCGCGATACTCTAGTCGGCATCGCCCTTGTACCCGTCAGTGATCTACGTCGCGTCGGTTTCACTCGCCCTGAGCTTATGTTCTTGCCACACACTCGCATTCGTGGCATCACCTCTGAGATAAAGACAAGACATCCTTCATTAATCTGGGGCTGCGCGGTCTAATGCCAGTCTCTGACTGCAGTGCGCATGCAAGTTCCGAGTGGCAATCAAAATGGCATTCGTCATTATTTCTCTCGAACAGATGGGCTGGTGAGTCGCGTCAAGGCCCAAGCCCAAGACCTGACGCCGAACATCCGCTGGCAGTTCGGCGAATGGCCAACGACAAACCACCTCGGTCCCTCAGGTATCTCTCATATGTTGTCTTGAATGTGTACGTGTTCTCGCACTCCTTGAATATCCTTTTTGTCTTGGCCAGCTTGTCAGTCGCTCTGTCTTTCGCTTTCCTCTTCGCAGCTGCCGTTGTTCGAAGTTCGGCGATCCGTGCTTGCAGTCTGCTAGTCTCGTGTTGCTGCTTGCGAACGAACTTTAACAAATCGTCTTTGCTCATATATGAGAAGTTATGACAGTCCGCCTGCTGCAAAGGAACAAGCGCGAACGCAGATGGAGCCGAGGTTGGCGCGAGGTCGATCCTCGCGACGGGCTGTCGCACTGGTTGCTCGCGAACCATGGAGCCCACCAGTGCCCATTGCATACTCTTCTCTGGCAAGCCCAACACATAATGAATGAGCGCTGGTATAACATCAAGTGAATGAGCCGCGCCGTTGAAGAAAGCGCGCGCCTCATTATTCATTGATATGTATGTACCACCCCTGGCCAACGCAAACCGCGCGTCCATGTCGGAACCGAAAGACCTCATGAATTTCAAGACGTGTTCGAACGGTGCGTGACCGTCTTTGTTGAAAGTTGTCACTGCGACAACAGTTGTTTTCCGTTCTAGGTATTTCTAGGTATGACAGCGAGATCGAACCATCCCTCATTAGGTCCAATATGGCTACGGAAAACAAGCACGCAAATGGCCCCATGCGACTGTAGCGCCGGGTGATCAGAGACGGAGGGACGTTTGAATGTCAGGACACGAAAGTGTGTACAAGGCCAACGAAACAGTGTCGAATCAATCATAGCGATGCGTTAAAAACTAGCTTTTTATAATATCGATGCGTTGAACATGAATTTGTTTTATCTATTAGCGCTGTATAGAAAACTTGCTAGGCATTCTTTTCCCCGTCGGTAACTTGCGCAACGCCCTCATCCTGGGGGCTAAAGAGCAGTTTTCAAACGTGCGCGGTCCAACTTCCAACGACAAAACAAGGACACCCCAGGAGCAGCGACGCCCATCCCCACGCGTGGATCAGCGACGGTTCCCGCTTCCACGCAGAATTCGTCGCCATCCGTCGCCAAATCAGGCGGCGCCGCCTTTGTGTCTCGGGGGATATTTTCCCAATTCGTAGACGCACGGATCCGTACGGTCGAGAATTTGGCTTCGTTTGTCGTTTCGGTGGTTTTGGCCCACCACCTTTCGGCGCGACGCACTAGTCCCAGGCGTCAATGTCCCGAGCCTTGCCTCCCCGCGGGCCGAAGCGACACGCTATCCGTTCGCATGGCACTGCGTGTCGCCAAGGCCGCCGCCGCCGCGACACGGTAAGCAAACGTTCCCGACCGTAATTTTTGTCAGCGTATACCCGAGACAAGGCGCGCGCCTCAGTATGGGGGGCCTGAAGAGGCCCCGTTGGAACCGTGCAGAGAGCAGAGGGCCACCCTGCAGGTTCGAATAAACAACACGTCGTTGAGCGGTGCTGCAGCCTCCCCAGAGCATCAGCCAGACAAGGTCGGGGGCAATGAGGCAACGATAGGGGGGGATAAGCATAGGGGGTGATGCGTCGACCCCGAATCGCCCATTGATCGCCGATAGGGGCCCGATAGCCTCATCCCACCCAGGAAGGTGCGGTTTTGCTGTTGGGGGCTTATCGCCGATCTATCGACGATGTGTGGCCGATTCTAGGTCGATGCGTCCCCCCCTATGCCCGTGTCCCCCCTATGGCCCCTCACGAGGGCGAGGACGAGGAGGTCGACGAGGCGACGGCGGCCTCGGTCTCGGCCTCAGCGACAATGACGACGCCGACGCCCCGCCGACCGGGGCGCGTACAGGTCCTGTCCTTCAGGCAGGCCGCTCCGGGCCAGCCGGCGGCGCGGCCCGCGCCCGCGGCGCAGGCCGGGGGGGTGCGGGTCAGGGGAGGAAAGGTATCGACACCGCTAGCGTTCCTCCGCTTCCCTTTCTCGGCCTCCTGGGGGGCCCTCGTCGACACCGCTGGATTCGCCTCGAAATTCTGATCAGAACACACCCCGGGAGAGGTCTGGTGACCTTTCGGTTTCCCCAGCGGGGGACCTCGCCGAGAGTGTTCGGGAGTGCCTGGATCGCCTTGAACGGCCGCGGGAGAGCCGAGTTATGACCTGAAAACCATGGGACGACGTAGGGGGGGATAGGCTCGGGGAGAATGCATCGACCCCCTTGCCTCCCATCGATCGCCGATGGGGGCCCAATAGCCCACCCCGCCCGGGATCGTGCGGTTTCGCTATCGGGGGGGCTTGTCGCAGATCTTTCGGCGCTGTACCGCCGATTCCACGTCGACGGTTCTCCCCCTCAGGGAGTAGACGAGGGCTCGAGGATAGGGTACCCAGATTTTCTGAGGTCTCTGGATGTTTTCAAACGCACTTTTTGTGGAACATCAGTTTGCCTCCAGGGGCCTACTTAGGAGTCCATTCGCGGCGCCGTCCAGGAGTTTGGAGGCGTGGTGGGCGCAGCGGATGCAGGCTGCAACGCGGTCCTCAGCCATGCTCATCTCGTCGGCAACCGAACAGGTGTTCCTTTGGGGACCTCCTGAGGCCTCACGGGAGGGCGGGGTGGGGGGGAAGCACCACGCTTGGCGTCACGGGCGCGGCTGCGGCTAGGGCCGAGCAGCCGTGGTCTTTCGATCGCGCGGTCGCAGAGAAGCAGCGACGGGCAGGGAAGGGAAGGCCTTCTTTCCCGACGGCAGGATGTGGCAGAGCCGCGAGGGGCGGAGGACGAGGAGGAGAGGCTCTCCCACGTTTTCCGGCACCCCTCCTTCCAGGCCGTTCGCTCAACTCACGTCGGTATTTTCGGACTCCCGGGTATCAGTCGACGTTACATAGTCGCCTTGCCCTCCCGAAGCACCAGTGCGTTTCAACCACATGCAATTGCACGTTTCTGCTTATCTTCTGCACGTCCTGTAGCCTCTCTTCGCCCCCCCCCGCGTTATCAGCCCTCGACCCGTCTCTGCTCCACCATCTGCTCTGGGGGGCAAGCTGCGCGGCCGCAGGTGGCCAACGCACCGACCTCATGGGCCGCGGGCGCCTCCGCCTGGGACGACGAGGAGGAGCTCTAGACAGTTGCCGTTGCACGCATCGGGGGGAGCGAGGGCGAGCATGGGAGTTCGGGTGGTTGGCGGCGCGCTCCCTGCCCGCGGCACAGGGGCACCTGGCGGGAAGAGCAGGCGAGGGAGCCGCCCGCACACTTCGCCGACTTGATACTCCATCCTTTCGCGCTCCCCGTGTGCGGATGGGGGCCGCGCCGTGGCGCCTTGCCATGCCTAGCACGCCCGCCACGGACTGCACGTTCTGAGCGGATCCCGGCTCGTCGCTTCGTCCGCGTCCCCCGTAACGCTGTGCCTCAATGTGCTCCCGGCGTGTCCCGCCCGAAGCCCGACCAGCGCCTGCACCAGCTTCGACTCGCTTGCGCCCGCTGGCTCGAAGAGTGTGTTGGGGTGTGGGGTTGGATTCCGCTGGACCCCAATCGGAGGGCACCAACTATACACCTACACCGATCCAGCCCAGTCCGATCCTAGGCCCAGGATCGGTGTATATGCAACCTGCCCATGGCAGGAGGGCGTATACACCGATCCTGGGCCCAGGTTGATCCTGGCCGGGATCGGTGTTGGTGTATAGTTGGTGCCTCCCTACCCAAGGGATTGCAAAAGCGGCGGCGCTTGCGCTGTTGGCACAAGCAGCGGTGGTGAGGTTCCGTACGGCGTTGGGCACGGATTTGGGGGGCACGGCGGGGGCCTGCGGTTTTGAGGTTCTCGTATGATCCGGGTGACGGATCGGAATGGTGTTTCATGGTTCCCAACCAACCTGTGTTGTTGGGTTCTCGTTTCGAAGAGACGGTCCCCGCGTCTCCTCCTCGTTCCTCCTCCCTCCTCCCCTCGTTTCATCATCATCATCATCATCATCATCATCATCATCATCATCATCATCATCATCATCATCCTCATCCTCATCCTCATCCTCATCGCCATCGTCATCGTCACCATCGTCGTCATTATTCTCATCAACATCAGCATCGTCAACATCGTCTCACGTTTCGTGGCCCCATAGGAGCCCCGCCGAAGGCCCCAGTGGCACAGTTCGCACGCGTCCCCGCCATTCATTCCAGCACACCCATCACACGTTTCGTGGCCCCATAGGAGCCCCGCCGAAGGCCCCAGTGGCACAGTTCGCATGCGTCCCCGCCACTCTGGCACAGTTCGCATGCGCCCCCGCCATTCATGTCGGCACACCCCTCACACGTTTCGTGGCCCCATAGGAGCTCCGCCGAAGGTCCTAGTGGCACAGTTTGCAGGCGTCCCCGCCACTCATTTCGGTACACCCCTCATACGTTTCGTGGCCCCATGGAGGTTCCGCCGAAGGTCCCAGTGGCACAGTTCGCATGCGTCCCCGCCACTCATTCCGGCACACCCCTCACACGTTTCGTGGCCCCATAGGAGCCCCGCCGAAGGTCCCAATGGCATAGTTCGCATGCGTCCCCGCCATTCGTGTCGGCACGCCCCTCACACGTTTCGTGGCCCTATAGGAGCTTCGCCGAACGCCCCAATGGCACAGTTCGCATGCCTCCCCGCCATTTTTCTCGGCACACCCCTCACACGTTTCGTGGCCCCATAGGAGCTTCGCCGAAGGGCCCAGTGGCACAGTTCGCACGCGTCCCCGCCATTCATTCCAGCACACCCCTCACACGTTTCGTGGCCCCATAGGAGCCCCGCCGAAGGTCCCAGTGGCACATATCGCACGTGGCCCCATAGGAGCTCCGCCGAAGGTCCCAGTGGCACAGTTCGTATGCCTCCCCGCCACTCATCCGGTACACCCCTCACACGCTTCGTGGCCCCATAGGAGCCCCGCCGAAGGCCCCAGTGGCGTAGTTCGCATGCGTCCCCGCCATTCATTCCCGCACACCCCTCACACGTTTCGTGGCCCCATAGGAGTGCGACATGCACAATTGAGAACAGACGCATCTAATGATTTTGTCGACGGTGCCCAGGGTCGCTAAGCGACCTCCCTTGTGAGGCAGAACGTAATTTCCAAAAGTGTTTTGCATCCGCGACACGACGGGTTTGGGTATGTTCCCTTTTGCTTCCCCGACTCGACGCGGGCATCGGGGTTGAACTCACCATTGCCATCCTTTCCCTCCCATCCTCCTCCGCCCTCTCCCCCTGTTACCCTTTACATGATGCCTCGGGCTCTGCGCCTTTCGACCCCTCCCCTCCTTCCCCCCTTTTTTTCTCCTTCTCCTCTGCCTCCTCCACCTCCCTCTCCTTCCCCTCCCCCCTGTTTGTGGTTGGTTGGGCTTCTGGGAGTCTCTGGGTCGGGTGGGTCGGGCGGAGGTTTGGGCCCCCAGGCCTTTTCCCTTACTACGGGGGGTCGTCTAGCGCTGTGCGCGACGTTCTCCCTTGCAGAGTCGCGTCCTTCTCTCCACTCCCCCTTCGGGGGGCAGGGGTCGTCAGGCCGGCGGGCGCGGCGGGGGCCCCCCGCGAGTCGTCCGCGGCGCGTCCCCGCGGGCGGCCAGAAACCGCCGAGGTGAGGGGCCCGCGCCGGGCACGCGTCCGCGCCCGCCTCCCCCCCGCAGGCGCCAGAGGCAACGCCAGGGCGGGGGATGGGCTCAGGGTGCGGGCGATACTCTGGCCCATCGTCCCTGCGGCTCGGAGTTTCCGGCGCTTCCCCCCAGGAGCCCGAGGCGCGCTGCATATGGATGAAAATCTGGCCCTCGGAGGCCCGATTGTTCTCCATATCCCATGCTCCTCGGCCTTGCGGCGCCCCTTTCAAGAAACTCTAAGACGCCCTGGATATGGGTATGCATATTGCCCGCACAGAGGGGGGGATTTGGGTCTCCCAGATGGGGCCGAGTAGGTTGGGTCGGAAATTCGCGCCGCATCGCCGATGCAGCTCGATGTGGAAACCGTTTTTTTCCCACGACGGCGTCGCCGATGCATCGGCGATGCGGCGCGATCCCCCGCACCCATCTACACCGAACCCATATGGGAGGCTTCTAGGGGACGCACCGGTCCCCGATCGCCCATGTACCGTTGATCTCCGATGTTTAGGGGCCAGATGGCCTACCCCTCCCCAGGAATCAGGAACGCGCGGAGTTATTCATCGGGGGCATATCGCCTAGTCACGGGCCATGTATAGCCTAGTCAAGTTCGACGCTTCCCCGCCTGAGCCGATCACCCCCTGTCGGTGCTCCTCATTCAGAGGAGATCGGCTACGCGCAAGAATGACCCTTCGCTGGAATGACTTTCGACGTGCGCCCACAGTGGACCTCGCTGCTCTGGCCTGCGCGTCTGTTTTTGCTCCCCCCCCGGCCCTCTAAAAGCCGCGGGCGAGCTGTCACCCTTTCCCGGCAGAGTCGTTCTTGCGGTGCGTGTATCGCGTGCTTGTATTGCCCTTTCGCCTGGCCCGAGTGTAGCCGGAGGAGGCACTCATGGACCACAATGCCTCGTTTGGGCATGCGATGGGTCCTAGCTCGGGCGCAAAGACCTTCCTGGCCGTCGAAGGACAGACGTTTTGGGATGAAATGTTGGTTCCGTCCTCGTGCCCCTCGCTTGTTATTTTTTTTTCAGCACACACAGAAGCAGCAGAACGTCAGAATTTCAGAGGTTCGCGTGGATTTCTTCGGTCGGCGCTGGACCCCTTGCACTCCGTGCCCGCCCCGCGCGCCAGCGAAGGATGTTCGGAGGGGAGCCCAGCGTCGACGCGAGAAGTCCACACGGACCCTTGCGTTTATTTAATCGCTTCGCTCATGCCGCCGGCCCTGGAGCCCTCTTTAGGGCCTCTTGGGGGCCTCTTGGGGACCTCTTGGGAGTCTCTTGGGGCTCCTTGGCGGCGTTTTGGAGGCCCCCAGGGCCTCTTGGGGGGCTCTTGGGGGTAGTCGATTGCGGCTCCCCCCTCGGAGGCCACGATCCTCGTGAGGGGTGTCGAAAAATACCCTCCCCTGGAGTGGTCTGGTGGCTTCTCCCGGGCTTCTCTCGGGACCTTGCCGGGGTACTTTTCGTCCGGGGGCCCCCAGGGGCCGCTCCGCGCGCGCGAACTAGAAATTTGTTTTAACAAGTTACCGGAGATCTTAGCACGCCTCTGGCCCGTTGGGCCGGCGAATTCATTAGCCTCGTCGGGGGTCGGGGAAAGAGGCTTCTGGTTTTTGGAATGTTTTCGTGGCCTCCAGAGTTCTCGTCCCGGCGTTCTGTCCGCCCTCGTCTTCCCCCGCATCCCTCGCTTTCCCACTCGCCCTCCTGTTCCGCGTCTTCGCCCTCATCCTTGCTCCCTGCTCTTGCTTCTTGTCGTCGTCGGCTTCCAGCCACGGTAAATCAATGCTTACCAACCAGTCGGGACCGAGCCCACCGCGCCATTGGAGGGCGTCGAGGGCCGTGGCCCGCGGCGGGCCCTGGACGGGCACACTTTGAGCCCTTTGTTGGGCACTGGCAGAAGCGAGATGAACCAACGCATGCCGACGTGTCCGCACGCGCCGTCGATGTTTGTAGCGCGCGCGAGCTCGGCAGCTCTCACTGCTGCCGCTGCTAGCCAGGGAATTGCGTGTCCGCGCTCGCCTTCCAGAGCCAGGCCCCGTTCCGAACCAACACCGCTGTCCAGAAACAGTTAGTACGAGGTGCCTTTGGAGACCTCGCGATGGTTCGTCGCGGATTGGAGGCTCCTTGTAGCGAGTGGCGGTGCCAGCATCGTGCGCGCGCGCGTTGGCAGGTGATCCCGCTATCTGATTGACGCGGTTTGTACGTTTGTGATTTTTGCTTCGTGCGTGTGCTGTGCCCGGTGCGGCACGCTGCGCCTCGCGTGCTTGGCCTGCCGCTGGTTTGCCCGGCGCGCGCGTGGCGCGCGCGCGTTGGTCGAGGGCGGCCCTCGATTTGTTTCGTGTTTGTTCCAGGCCCTCCTGCGCGTCAGGTCTTCGCTTGCGCTTTTCGCTTCATCCCTTCTGTTTGTCTCTCCTCTCCTGTTCTCCTCTTCTCCCCCTCCTCTTCCTGCTCTTTTTTTTCCGCTTCGTTTCCTCATGTCCCATCCCCTTTTATATTGCGTGGTATGTCTTCGTTTTGTGGCCGCGCCACGGCAA